CAACGAAAAAAGCGCGGATCACCGTATTTGTTTCCATATGGAGGGTAGAAAGTAAAAAAAAAAGGAAAAAAAAGAAAGGAACAGCTGAGGGAGGCAGGTGAGGCAAGCCAGAGGTGCCGTTGGCATCCGGCCGAGCGACGAAATCGATGTAAAACCTGCAGGGTGGTTGCTGGCTGGCGAGCAAGGGAGGGAGCGACCCAACCTCCTCACCAGTGGCGGAAAATTTTATCGAGCCGCTGCACGGCAAAGGTGCGCTACACACTGTACCTCGTGCGCGCGCGCGCTCGCCCGTGTGCGTTATTACACGTGTACGTGGTGTCGATGGGAGAGATCTAGAAGGACCCAAACGAGAGTGATGATTATTGCTTGGGTCAATTTATTTCCCTTCCAATGTCATTTTCACAAGTATTTTTTTTTTTTTTTTTTTTTTTCGAGGATGGTTTTCTGATGCCAACTGACGAATTGCAATGATTGTAGACACACTGGACTTGATTCTTAAGGTAATATTGGAAAAATTTTTTCTGTTAAAAGTTTACCAGTGACCAATATTTTTTAGCAGTATAAAAATAAATAATATTTTTTATCTAAACGTTCGTAAAGAGATGTAGTTTTTTTTCGTCATAAGAAAACTAAATAACGCGTACCAACGTACGATACAAAAAGTGATATTTCTTCTTCCAGATTATCAGAATATTGAAAATAAGACTTAATTTTTTTCTAATGTTTTATCACACTTTGTTCAATGAATTCAGACATTAAAAAATTTTTTTCTATTTTTCATATTATGAATCAACAGTGTTTCGATTATATTTCGTGTCGAAACAGGAATAATTCATAAAAAAGAAGCAGTAAATAAATAAATAAACAAAAAACAAAACTAAAATTATGATAGAATTTCTTTTAATAATCTAACGATACCAAATTTTAATTTCACCTTTTTCAGAGCATGATGCACTAACTAGTAAGTCCAGATTATGTCCCTACAAAGAATACGTAGCGTGTGTTCAATTATGTGTACAGAAAGATTACAAAGCCGATTGTCAAAAAATAAGTGATGATCCCGTATCCCAGAAATACTACCCATCTCTTATTGAAAGTGATTACAGATGCACCTGTCACCGGTCCTTGTAAATCCAGTGCTCTTCAGCAAAAATTTTGGATGTACTTAATCCTATTTCATTTCAATAAACAAATAAATAAATAAAATTTTGGTAATTACTTGGTTTTATCGGACGTAATGTGAATCGATTATATAAGATGTTATTGCTCAACTTTTACAGATGATTGATTAATATATCTTAAGTAAATAAAAGTCTTAATCATGAAAAAAATATTTTCCCAACTGTTGCTTATTGATGCTTTTATATACCTTTTTGGTATGAAAAAAAAAAAAAAAAAAAAAAAACTCTTTACGCCCATCGAGACCAAAAAGCGGCTTTTACTTCTGAGTATGATTAAGCACCCAGGATATAAAGTAGCACTACTTACTGGGTATGCACGATTATTCATACAACTCTATCAGAAGTATAAAGTTTTTTCTCTGACTCCAAAGATGAAAGTGCAATATGACATCCTAAAAAAAGTAAATTTTCTGTAATTTTTCCTCATTTTCCCGAACAGATAGTCATTAGTTCGTTTCTTGTACGGTAGTGGGAATATTTCAACGACGAACTCTCCTGAACTATCGACTAATATTCTTCCATCCCGCAAGTAAAGATATTTTTTCCTCCGACAAATCTTGCTAGTAAGTCCGAAATATATTGCAGAAGTTCCCTAGCTCGGAGTTTCAAATCGAACAGAGAGAGCATGCGCCTCTTCTCTATTTTGGCAACTGATCGTGTGTCAAATGACCCGTGCTCGGTCGACTTGTGAGATAAAAAAAATAGGTGAAAAGCTAACGACTAACGGTTAAGAATAACCAAATTTCATCCCTTTATTCCCTGCATCCCGTTGATTGTTAAATAAACTGAGAAAAAGAAAAAATACCAGAAACAAGGGTAGAGAAACTGGCACATAGTTCAAAAGGAGTTTTATAATTAAGCATAGTACTATATTTAAAAAAGCTTGAGTGACTTAGTGGTTAGTTATGCTGCAGCCTCGTAGTCGGAGGAACTCGGGGGGTCGGTAATTCTGTAAAAATATGTCAAGGCTTTTTCGACAGGACGCGTATCCAGGATGTCCAAGTGACAACTTGTCTTTTTAAAAATGCATTGAGGATTTTTCTGGACCATCCAGGGGCTGTCTTTCCCAAGAAAGCCAAAGCCAAAAGATCGGTACGATGGATTGGATGGCTAACGAAAGAGATCCTCTTAAACCTAAGAAAGGCTACGGTGCGCTTGAGACGATCGCTGCGCCCTGCAAATGGTACACAGCATAACATTCTCTAGGATGGATGACCGAATTAAGGGAAAAAAGGATGAAAAAGGATTTTTCATAGAAAAAAGAGTGAGGAAAATCATTCATTAAGGTAGTACTGTCATACGAGTGAGGAGCGCGAGAGATTCGATTTCACGGTCATGAGTCTTCTATGTATGGATGCATTTTTAATATGTACTGTTGTGACCATTGATTAGTAATTTTATATATATGCAGCTATACCTAATGGATTAAAATCTTTTACGTACATATTCTTGTTAGCGTCTCTTTCATCATCGGTTGCGTTTCCATTGGGAGCTTGAGGATCAATTTTAAGTGAAATCCAAGCTTCGACGATTTCTCACAAGAGACTATCTTTAAAAAATTTAAAATTTGTTTTCCTGGTCTCTCGCCCCCAAGGCACCCTTAGATTTTGAAACTTTACAGTGACTACTTGTGACCTACGGTAAAATTTTTACAAAAATCCCGCAAGCCAATCTACTACCTCATTTACGAGCGTTTGTCAATTCGTGAGAGGCAAATTTTATCTCCTTGGTAAAAAAAAGGGTGAGCTTTTCCATCGGTATCGTTCAAATGAGGTCTCAAATTATTATTATTTCTCCCAGTCACCGACTCCGCGTTCGAACGTTCTCCATCATCTGCAGAGTCACGAGCTTCGAAAATCGCAATGCCCCGCAATGAAATCTATCAACGAAAAAAGCGCGGATCACCGTATTTGTTTCCATATGGAGGGTAGAAAGTAAAAAAAAAAGGAAAAAAAAGAAAGGAACAGCTGAGGGAGGCAGGTGAGGCAAGCCAGAGGTGCCGTTGGCATCCGGCCGAGCGACGAAATCGATGTAAAACCTGCAGGGTGGTTGCTGGCTGGCGAGCAAGGGAGGGAGCGACCCAACCTCCTCACCAGTGGCGGAAAATTTTATCGAGCCGCTGCACGGCAAAGGTGCGCTACACACTGTACCTCGTGCGCGCGCGCGCTCGCCCGTGTGCGTTATTACACGTGTACGTGGTGTCGATGGGAGAGATCTAGAAGGACCCAAACGAGAGTGATGATTATTGCTTGGGTCAATTTATTTCCCTTCCAATGTCATTTTCACAAGTATTTTTTTTTTTTTTTTTTTTTTCGAGGATGGTTTTCTGATGCCAACTGACGAATTGCAATGATTGTAGACACACTGGACTTGATTAAAAAAAAAAAAAAAAAATGTGAATGCTGAACGTTTCCTTTACGTTTAATGTTAAAGTCATTTTAATAACAACAAAGTGATTCGTTTATAGATTTGCTGCTCTACACTTCATCTTGATAATAGCATGCCTATGTTACCATCAATTTTCATGAGCAAGATATTCAACTTTCTTTTGTTGTGTTTGTATCGTCATGTTCTAGAATACAACGTGGAACTGGTTCTGATTTTTTTTGTATTTATAATTTCATCATTAAAATACATATTTTATGGTTTATTTGAATGTATCATTCGATGTTTTTTTTAACTAAAGTTAGTAAATTAAAGATATTGTTATTCAACTAGAGATCTTACACGTAAAAAAGCCTCATAAAATAATATTTGATTATTTCCAGTTTGCTTAGAAAGTAACAACAAAGGAGAAAGTAACTTGGATGAAATATCATTAAAAATACTTGTTACTAGCAAATTATTATAAAAATGATGAAGCTAACGAAATATTTAACAAATTTTTTTTTTTTTTACCAGGAAATCGGTGTACACGAGACTGCGCGGGTAAAGTTTTAGCCCTAAAAGTTTTGTAGAAATATTTCAAAGTTTCAAGACGAAACAAGTTCAATACTGTAAAAAGCGTATTGAAAGTAATTTGAATCATAATCACGATTTCTGTATGATGTTCATCCAGCACATGTTTAACTTAAATAAAATTAAGAGGTAAAAATTGCGACACCCATAAATTCGTTGTAATAAATTATCGCTTGTACGATTGCTTTTCGCATGAAAGTATCGATTACAATTGGAAAATAAAGTCTCGAAAGTTGTTATTCGAGCAAAACTATGTTGGACAGTCCTTCGTTAACATATTAAAATACCATAATTTCAAATAACTCGAGTAACCCTTCAAATATCGTAACAAAATTCCTAAAATTCCCATATTATCACAAACAACGACATACAAATAGATATAAAAAAAAAAGAGTAAAACAAAAGGTAAAAACATTAATTAATTTTTGTTCGTATCCAAAAGTCTTCAATAACGATCTGCGATTTGAACACACAGAAAATGTATGATAAGTCACGGTTACCCACCAATTCAGCCTCGGTCCATTATCGTCGGCCCGTACGTTGATTCGTACTACTTGTTTTTTTTTTTCCCCCCCGTAAGAAAAGAAACAAAAACTCAACTCCCGAACTTTTCCTAGTGGCTCGACCAAAACAAAACTAACAGCCCCCCTTCAGATAAAATGCACACCTGCCGTTACAAAAAAAAAAAAAAAAAAAAAAAAAAAAAAAAAAAAAAAAAAAAAAACTCTTTACGCCCATCGAGACCAAAAAGCGGCTTTTACTTCTGAGTATGATTAAGCACCCAGGATATAAAGTAGCACTACTTACTGGGTATGCACGATTATTCATACAACTCTANGGTACACATCAGACGAAACTCACCTTAATCCAGAAAAAGAGGGGGGGATGTACTCCGATCAAGGGGCGATCTCAGCCAGTCAAGATGTGTATCTATACACGTATGTAGGTCGAGGGTGGGGATCGGTTGGGGAGACTCGACACACCGCCGGTGCGTGCGCTGACTCGTACCACCACCCCTGACGCGCGTGTGGCCCAACGACCAGCACTATAGTCCACGGTATACAGTCCACGAAATACAGTCCAAGTGGCTCGATCCTCCCTCCTCCTCGTGCTTTTCTTACCAACTGCCTATATATATATGTACATATATGTGTATACGTATAAGTCTATATATGACACTCGCACACGGAGACGCGTATATATATATATATATATCCTCGACACTTGGGGAACGTCTTTGCTTCCGCTCGCCAATGTCCTCGGATGTTTTGTTTTTTCTTTCTTTCTCTATGACTTGTACCGTTTTTCCCCAAACAATCCGCGAAAACGCGACACGTACGACCAATTGTCGCCGTTCTTTTCGACCCCTACCGGAATATTACCGCACTTGTCGGCCGTCGACGGGATCTTACGAAATCATCCCCACAAAATTAACCTTCATCCGAACGCACGCGCGCGTGCACTGTACGCGTGACATCTCCCTCTCTCTCTCTCTCTCTCTCTCTCTCTTTTCCCGGCTTTTTAGCTACGCGCTCACGTACACGAGTTAACGACGCGATGGAAATTCCCGTGGACGGTCCGAGGTGCGAATGCACACGGAGCTTTACGTGACAAGTGATGGAAAGAGATAATCAGAGAGCAGGGGGGCAGGGAAGAGGAGAAAAAGCTCCGTTGTTCCCTCTGCTCGTGCACTGCGACACTATTGCAACGACACTCGGCTCCCAACAAACAACACCCAACACGTACAAGTAACAAAAAAAAAAGAGAGAGAGAGAGAGAGAGAGAGAAGGGGACGTACAAGACTGCGTGCGAAACAAGGTTATGGTCGGTCGTGTGTCCGCGTAGATGCGTGTGAGAGTGTATATGTACCGTGAGAGGAAAAGAAGGGAAGAAAAAACCAGAAGAGAGAGAGCGAGCGGCCGCTCGAGAGGAGCTCTAGTCCCTCTCTCTCTCTCCCTCGCGGCGTTCCCGCTCTCCGCTTCCCGTGTTATTGGCAACAGCGACGGTAACGGCGAGAGTGAGACCGTGGCGCGGACCGAGCGAAGCCCCGAGTTCAGACTGAGCGGCCGGAGCTCTCGTGTCCACCGTCAGCCACTCTCGCACTCTGTGACGATGCTCGTGGTGGTGGTGGTGGTAAGCGCCGGCGTGATAGAGGGTAGAAAGAGAGCCGATCGATGCCCGTGTGAACTGCGTCTCGCGTCCTCCTCTCCCTCTGCACCCTCTGTCGCTCGATCGCGCGCGCCCCCACGTTCTTACACACGTATACATACACGTATACATACACAGCTCGCCGAGGGCTTGCATCGCGCACCTCGACAGAGGGTGGGGCGAGATCCAGTCCCGTGGTCGCGCTCGAGCTTGCGCTCCTTGGTACTCCTACTGTGCCTACATAGTACATATATATACGCGCATACCTCCCCTGTGCTCTCTGTTCGCTCACTCGACTGTACCGTGCGTTGTGTTTTTACACCCTCTCTCTTTCCTGCCCTGTAACTTGCACATGTGCGAGCTTGCAGGCAAAGAAGAACCCCTTGCGTGGGTACGTGCGCGCATCACTATGCAGTTCCCTCTCTGGTGACGCCGTTGTCGTTTACTTTGTACCCACCCCCCAACCTCTCACTTTTCTTTATGTATCTCTGTCTTCATCATCGCTCCGTGCGTCCTCTTTCGTCAACGTTAACTAAAATATACCTGCGAGAGATCTTTTTTTTTTTCCCCTCCTGCTCATTGACGACTCTCTTGTTTGTCACCGAGAAGTATGATCCGCAACCATACGATGGTTTTACTTGCATCCCTCTAATTGATGGTGGTGGATGGGATGGAAGTAACAACAACAGCCACGTGGTTCTTCGAAAAAAAAACTAGAAAACCCAAGTACAAGTGTAGGTGTATAAGGTACAGCCTGAAGTGACGTCGTGCTCGTGCAGAGCTGAGAAGCATCCAAATGGATGAGGTATATAGTACGCAGGGAGGGCTAATCGGAGCAACAACAAAAAGTGTGCTCGTCTGGTCTGGGCATCTTGCTCGTCACCGTTCAATCGAGTGATCATCAATTTATTTAAAAGTAAGCATCACCACAGGCGACGTCGTTTGAATAATAATCACCAGTCTCGTCGCCGTAAATACTTTCTTTTTTTTTCCCTCCACCCACCGGCTTTCTCGGCTCCTTCGTCTGGATGTACATACACCCGACGGTTTTTTTCCTTCCTCCCTCGTTTACATCGATCCCTCTTCCTTCCTCTCCCCAACGATTCTTCTTTTTTTTTTTTTTTACCACTCGCTATCGAATCCTCTCCCCAAACTTCTCCTCCTTTCTTTCCGTATATACAAATTCCTTCGCGCAATTATCGTCATCGTGACGCGGCGCTTCTCGCGCATACGTATCTAGCTGGGACTACGACGGGGTGCTCGGAAAAAGTTGATGGTCGATATTTTCCTTTCTCCCCCGTCTCTCGCTACATTATTTTCCCCGGTTCTCCGATTTCCCCTGACTTTGCTCGTTGCCGTACACATGCCCAATGTCCTTTGTAAGCTCCTTGTTCTTTCGGATTTCACAATTTTTTTTCTTTTTTCCAGCTTTCAACACTTGAAATCAGTGTTGAAAATTCCCGTTTTTGCACAAAATTGCGATTCCAGCACAATGGACGCGCGGACGCGTTGGGAGTCTCCTCGTGCTAATTGAAACTCGTGGTCGTGGTGGTACAAAGCGAACGCAGTGCAGTCACATATTTCAAAACCACACGTCCAAAGTTGAACAGTAAATTACAATTATATCAACGTTACGCTATCGTCAAGTGGTAAACTTTCATCGGAGTGGAAGTTAATTTTAAAATTAAACAACTTGGAAAATTGAGCGTATGTACATGGGTGTAAAGTGCAATAAATTATCGTTAGTTTCGTGTAACCTTTTGGGTACGGAATTCCCAGGGAATTTCTTATGTTGACAAAAATGCGCGGCCTCGTATGATAGAGAAATGTTGCCTTCTTCATCAAAAGGTCTTCCATCTGAAAAATCTCGTAAAAATTTAAAATTTGAAATGTAATGGTGTGCTAATAAAAAATCACTTTAATTTGTAGATACTTTGGATTATTATTACCACTTTAGTTTTTTAAAGCTCACTACTTTAATTTAAATAAAAATAGAATTTCATGGAAGCAAACGCATCATTACTAAAGTATTAGTAACGAAGGTCGGGTACACAGCAAATCGAGTACTCAATGGTAAACACATGGTTTGCATATTTATCCACTTAAATTTTAGTACATTCCTTTGTAGATCATAGCTGCAGTGAAATCATAGCCTGGACAGTTTTAATTATGAAATGTGTAGAGAGAAAAGCCAGCCCAAAAGGCAAGAGAGACAAACTGATGGACAGTAGAAAGGCAAAAGGGGTACAAAGGGTAGGAAACCAGAGGAGGAGGAAGAGGACTTCGATACCTGTCCATTAAAAGCAGTTTGCAGCTCGAGAATTCAATTTATTTGAAAGGAGGAAGGGAGAAAGGTATGCGCGCAATGTGCCTGCCAGCAACAACGTTGGCTTGCACAATTCGCGGGTGAGCGGAGAAGAAAGTTTTTCAAGCGCGAATGGAAATCATATTTGTGTCAGTTGGCATGAGCTTTTTCGGCCCGAGCCTCCGCACCTCCATCTCTCTCTCACCTGTAGTTTATTCGTATTACCCTCTAATTTAATTGCATAGGTACGCTAACTATTTTTTTATGCTTTTGGTATACCCAACCATTTCAAATTACATGTAAACGCTACGTGGATTTTTTCAAGCGCTAATATACATACAAACAAGAAAGGAGAGGTAAAATTTCTTGATTACGCAAAACTAGAAAATACAATCAAAATATTGTGTGACTTTGAAGAGACAAGATGAATTTTAGGTGTTTACGGACCGTTGTAACTCCAACAATCAGGTACTTTGATCCGGACATTCGTTCCAACACATTAATTTTAAAATCCGAGAACTTGAAACGATTTATAATTCAATTCATTTCGTAACCATGAATAGAAGTTACGAAACGACTTTTCACCCTTCAAAATCTGTAACATATTGATTCAGATGTTTGCTCCTACTTCATAATATACGAATAAATTTTTTTTACACCTTCAAAAGAAGAAGTAAATAGAAGCAGAGAAAAAAAAAAGACAAATAGACGTTGAATAAAGGTGATCTGAGGAAGCTAGACAAGGAATTCCTTTATCAGTGATGCATGAAATGGAACTCGAAGAATCATAGTTTATGTTTTACCATCGTCACCAAAATTATTGAAATATGCTTGTCGACTCTGGTCCATCTAATGTATAAGCTCCAAGTGGAAGTATTGATTGTAATGGATGTAAGCACATTATTAGAAAGTAGTAGTGGCTTGTATATTAAAATCGCTTGTCTTTAGAAAAATATTGTTCGTACCCAGAAGTTTTCCTCTTAACGTCAATTCAACAATTAGAAGAAAGCTTGGCGAGATATTGAAATAGCTTAATGATATTTTCATTGATAAACTTCGTCCCTGAGATTAACGTTACAATTACAGTATAAAATTGAACAAATCTTTGAAGAAATATACTTTGGGCCGTTATAAAGTTTGCAGTTGAAAAAAAAATCTTAATTTCACAACGCAATTTTGAAACGACTATATTTTTTTTGCAAAGAGCTTTGATGGCTTGGTTGGTGGACTCACCAACTTCCAAGCCGGGGAAACTCGAGACAAGAGCTTTGACACTTCGCACGAGAATAATCAAAGTCAATGTGACGACGGTCGAGGTGAATGTTCAAGTGCAGCAGTGACAGCGGACACTCTCACTTTGCTCAAGAATGTCGGAAATTACATAATTTCCGGACTTTGTGGGAGCTAGCAGCGTACGGTACCAGGAATTCACTGTTAGGTTTGACTAACCAAATCGATTTTACGCCGAGTGCACACTCGACCCTTTTTCCTATTTCTCCGCTACCCTCTCTTATTTCTCTATCTTAACCTCATACTTTTTGAAAATCCCTAGGCGATCCCTCAGCTATGATATCTAGTCACACTAGAGTCTTTTTTTCGATCTAACGAAAAATAATTTGATGGTGATTTCTAATGAAGGAGCCAATTCAACAATTTTTGGTTTTGACAATGGCCATTTCATGTGTGTGATAATAGTAACCATTAAATTATTTTTAGTATTTACAGGTTAAGCAATGTCTTGATGATTAACATGAAAGTCATTTAGGCTACCTATTTTCAGGCTCATTCATATAATGCAGCGGTTATAATTCTTCAGTTTTTTTGTATTAAGACTAAATCAAAAACAATTATGGTTATTAGTAATAACATGATTGTTATTAATGATTTTTACTATCATATTTATCGTTTTTCTTGCATTTATTGTTACAATGATAATATTTACTATGAAAGTGCTTTAACATACATGTTTAGTGAAAATACAGCGATAATGATTTATTTTGTAACAGGAAAATGTACAACTTTTACTCTTTTAAATGTGAAACCAAGAAAACGTTACCCGAATAAGTACACGAAAAAATACTATCTCATTTACAGGTTTAGATGTACAAATTAAATCTTGGCAGCAAACTCTAGAAGCCATCACCAACTTTTTTCATATTCACATAATGAATACAAAAACTGTAATAAATTTACATCAGAGGCAGCTTCGTATTGAGAATTTCATAAACAGCAATACAGGGCTGCTCATGAAATTATGTTTTTATTTTTGTTGAGTTACTTGGTAACTATATCTTGCCACGTGTACGAAATGTACGAAAAGTTCATGAGAAAGTCCCATTTGTCACTGTGGCAACTTTTTAAATTTCAGTTCTTAGGTGTATGATTTTCAATAGATAAATAAAATATATTTTGAAAATAGTGATATAAATACGTTGCTCTTTTTTCCTACCAATTTAGAGTAAGCCTAGGCCTAAATATCGTCATCTACTCTGACACTGCCGATAATGTAATCGATTTTACCGAAAGTTTTATAAAAAATTATGTTCAATTATCTTTTTTATGTCAGCTGCTTTGTAAAGAAACCGTCTATTTTAATTTATCCCTGATTCGAATCCAAAATTAGTGTGACAA